ATGTTCGACGACTCATAATTTGTGTGCCATTGACACCACCTCAAAAGAGAGCAAGGAAACTTTGGTGCAGACATGTCGCCTGGAATCCAGATGAATGGAGGCGTGTAATGTTCACTGATGAGTCCAGATTCTCTCTAAGCAGCGATTCTCGTCGTGTCTTTGTCTGGAGAGAGGTGGGAACCAGAAATAATCCCCGGAATATGGTTGAAAGGGATCCCTACAGAAGCCAGGGTTTTATGGTCTGGGCTGGAATCGTCTTGGGCGGTCGCACAGCACTCCATATCTTTCGGCAAGGAACCCTGACTGGACAGAGGTATTGGGACAATATCTTGGCAGCATTTGTGATGCAAAAAGCATTGGAAATAGGAGAAAACTTTCTTCTAATGGATGATAATGCCCGTACACATAGGGCAGGTGTGGTCGACACTTTTCTCTAAAACCATGCGATTGCTCGGATGAATTGGCCAGCTCGATCCCCAGACCTAAATCCCATTGAGCATGTATGGGACAACCTAGGACGGCGGATCTCATCCCTCCAACCCCCTCCTAGAAACACTCATGAGCTAGAAACAGCCTTAACACAAGAGTGGGCGTTGATTCCACAGGAGCTGATAAACTCCCTAATTCTTAGTATGGGTCACCGATGTAGAGCCTGTCTATCAGTTAAAGGTGATCACACCCCATATTAACAACAATATCCAAGATATTTATGCACTGACTGCAAGAAGATCATTGCTTGACCGGCTAATTTGCATAAAATACGTGTTAGAATTCTTTGATTTCGGGTATTCTAATCAATAATGAAATAATAAATTTGTGCATAAAATTCCATTGATAAATGTTCAGTAAAATTTGAGATAAATGAAAAAATATGTTGTTACTTTAATTTTGCGGACCAGTGTATATTAAAAATAAAGAAGGCATCTCCTGACCACGAGCACATGTGCTTTTTAGATCGCAGAGCGCCATCTAGTAGAGCAAAAATACACACACACACACACACAAAGTCTTTATTAATACATTAGTCTTATACAGATTCTCCGTACAAGGTGCAATATCAGGAAAAGAGCAGCAGTAGAGCAAAAATAAACGAAACGTTTATTTAGCTTGCTCCGTGATATTTGGCCAACCCAATTTCTTGGAAAAGCCATCTACGAACGCGTTTCGCGCTGTTGGCGCTCGTCAGCGTGGAGTAGGCTGCAACCACTGCGACCAAAAATATTTTTGGTCCCAGAGGCTTCTTGAGAAATCAAGAAATGGGTATTTAAGGCCAAATTTGCGTAAAGACGCTTAACACATTAAAAAACAATAGAAAAAAAAGGTAAGTGGGTCAGGTGTTGATATTAAAAATAAAGAAGGCATCTCCTGACCACGAGCACATGCGCTCTGCCATCATAATAACTGATTAGCAAAAGATAAATATATAGTCTGTACATTTCCAAATATATATATATAGAGAGAGGTATGAGTATCGGTGAAACGTTTGTTTATCATTAATCATGAATCGATGAAACGTCTTCTGATTATAAAATATTGTCATTTACAAAAGCCTTCACATTATTTATTCAGATATAGCTCACATTTTACATGGATTAAAAAGAATAGTTCTGGAAAAAAATCAATTTCTTTGAGTTTTGTTTTAATAGAGAAGGTCTGGTGTTTATGAATATTTATAATTTTCGTAAATTCATCATTGTGTTTTAGGAAGATATATTATATTGGCTATGTGTGTTATATAGATTTCAACATACATTTCAGATTTTAAATTATTAATATATACCATATACTCATATATGGTATATATGAGATCATATTTTACTCTTTCATTTTCACTTGTAGAGACTCCGGGGAAAATTCAGGTATAAGAAATTTATTTTCCGCCAATTTACCCAGACTAATATATTTATTAGCTTGATTGCCTTCATATTACCATTATATGTGAATAGCTTTGATATAATAATAATAATAATAATGCTTTTTTATTACTGTTTTTCCTACATGACCCTTACATTTCTGATCGGAGAATCTATATATCTAATAAATAATTTTGTTGTTGTATATTCATTGAGTATTAATATTTTTTCGGTATTATAAAACTGAGAATATTGTCCGGATGGCATGATACAATAATCAGTAGCCCATTTGGAACAAAATGAAGAACGAGACGTGCATCTCAGAAGAAATAAGCTAATAGTTGGCATAAAAAGTTTTTGACAGATCGATTTTTTCCATAAATGTCTGTTCTTCAACAGGTGCACAAATCAAAGCTGCTAGAATAGGCCTTATCAAATAAAGCCTCATTTTTACCTTTAATTCTATGCGCCTATTGAAGTACATAAAAACCAGAAAGATATATACCTCGGCAATGGAAATCCAGATCGAATAGGTGTTATCTGCACCGATAACAACCTATAACACCTCATATGTAATCTTTTTTAATAAATGATTGAATAGGGGTTACCAAATCTAACACAAAATAAAACTTTCAATTAAACAGAAACACAAATATAAGGCTCTTTCTACTAAAGGAAAACTACTCATTTAAGGATATTGTCGCGAAAATAATAATTAAATAGGTCACTAATTACTTTTAAAATTTATTCAATTATTTATAGTAAAGATTTCAAATATAAAATAAATGTTACTAAGTATATGAGCCAAATCGACTCATCCGTTAGAGCAAGAGGGGAGAACTGAGTTTTCCCCCTTCCTCGTGACACTAGTTTTCCTCGACCGGTACGTTCAGTCCAGATAAGAGGGAATACCAGGAAACTCTGTTCTCCTGACAATATTAATAAGAAAGGTAATTTTGACATGGCGATTGCCTATATCACCCCTGCGTGCCAAGATACACTATTTTTGTAAATAATTCTTGAAGAGAGAGAGAGTTGAAGAAAGACAAATAATTCCATCCATAAAATTCATAGAGAATTCCTCGACACCTGAAAAAAATTAAAATTTATGAATTAAGCATACTGCTTCGTGAAGAACCCTTCAATTCCACCAAGAAATAATTTTATCGAGAACACTTAGTGATTCTCGGCTCAAAATATTAATGACATCATACAAAAACATTTTTTCAGACAATTTAAACCTAAATATTGATTTTTCTAATCAATTGTTATCAAAATATATAGTCACGAGCGTCTTTCCACCGTCATCGGCCGCCTCTGTCACGGATGCGCGCGCATCTACCAAAAAAAAACTCCCTCGAGCAGGATTTGAACCAGCGAATTAAGGATCACCGCTTAATTACATCTACAGTCCTCCGCTCTGCCAACTGAGCTATCGAGGGATACGAACTGTACGAATAAGTTTACCTTATAAAGTCAACTAATCCTATTTCTACATATTTCTATATATATATATAGTCACGAGCGCCTTTCCACCGTCATCGGCCGCCTCTGTCACGGATGGCCATTGGACGGCTACGATCACGTGTCATCGTTGGCGCACCGGTGACCTTGAGTGACGTAAGTTTGATACATTAAATATATAACATTTTACATGCAATAATTTAAACTTTTATTTTCTCATTTATTCATCCTAAATTGCTTTAACTTCCATTTTAATGCATTTTTATAAAATATTTTTTTACTTATTTATAAATCGATCTCCTAAATTTTGAAATGAATATTTTAAATACCCACTTTTTAAAAAACTTTTTATAAGGTTCTTACAGTTTTTTGTTTAAATCATTTTAAATTTATTTTCAAATGTTTTAATAGATACATACATTTTTACATTTATCTCCTTATGAATTATTAATGAATTATTTTTATGTACTTATTACAATTTTTTTAAATATAAGATAGAACTTTTTTTCCTTTTATATTTTAAGATATTTTACATTTTTGATTGCATTTTTTATGATAATTTTTTCATGCCCAAATTTCTCCCACTTACTCTGTATTTTAATTGATTTCAACTGTGATATTATAACACTATGCGGCGCTGAGTTTGTGTATACAAAAAATGTAATGCCTCGATAAAGGTTGGCGTTCAGCCAGCCGAAATATTGGCAAAATAAATATATTTTTAAAATCCAATATATGCCTTTTATTATCTAACATATATAAATGTATTTTGAAAATAGAGCAATCCATAAACAAATCTTTATTAACCTAATGCAATAAAACTTGCAGAAATATTGATATTTCTTATAGATAGCATGAAAAAGAAAGAGAATCTATTTTCATTTCACCATATAACTGAATATTAATTCGATTTATCATTATAATTATTAGGTTTTTTTGTTTATTATTATTAATTATTTTATTTATATTTCAACATACAAAACGCGATATCCCGGCTAAGGATAATTGCCTCGATTTACATTTTTTTAAACAGAAACAGTTATAAACATATTATATGAAATTATTATTAATTGATATTCAGATATATAGCGCTATATATTTGGAAATTTAAATACTTTAATACCTTTTAAATGATTCGTTAAGATACTGAAAAGTTTTATATTCATTATTAATAAATACATATGACATAAGAAATTACAGTTATATATATAATATAGGAGAATATATTTATGAAAAGATACTACTTTCAGACTAAAAATACATATATGGGTATGCAATACAGATTTTATTCCTTTTTAGGACAAACATTGAATTTTCACTCTAAAAATTTAAATATTTGCTTTTCAAATTTAGAGAGCTCACACAATACTATTCCTTTTATTTATAATTCAAATCAGACTATGCAAATATGACTTGTAAAATTCGTTTCAATATAGTTTGAGTATATTAACCTTTAAGGTATAATACCATATACATATAAATTATCTCTCACTGACTTAACTGCGTCGCATCGTGTTTGGGATGTAATGCGTACAGTGGGACACAACGTTTGATCGCAAATAAAATTATTGTAATGATTATAATATATAATACAATATAATGCGGCTATGATTATAGATCGACGTTTAACATGTTACCGCAAATGTTGCTCTTTCACAAAACGAAAAATCTAATTTTTTAATTATTTAGGTAGCCTAGTGGACATGCCATCCGCCTGGTAAGCGGAACACTGGGTTTGATTCACATCCCTGGACACTTTTATTTTTTCCGTTCATCATTACTCTTCACAATTCATCCTTTCATATTTAATCCCTAAGTATAGGAGAATAATCATTATTTCTCCTTAAAATAATTAAAAATTATGGTTTATCGTTTTGTAAAAAAGATAGATTTGCGACAAAACTTGTTAAACGACGTTCTAATTAAAAGATATATAGTTGAAATATATTTTTCATCGCTTTTTCTGGAATGAATAAAATTTAAAGAAGGAGGATATGAGTCATCAGTGATAAACCCTTCCATCGGTGTATCCATTCTCCTCCTAATGCATTGCTTTGTGATTGAATTGACTATAAATTGAATAAAATGATTATAAAAAAATACCTCAAAGCAAAAAGAGTCTTAAAAGGTCGAAAAAAATATTTGAATGGTAATAATCCATGCATTTTTTCCCAGGAGGTTGTGTGAGGTGAATGGTTATAATAAGCTCTCAAAGCAAAGAGGTTTTGGTCAATAGATAGGAAAGGATGTTTGAATAGTAATAATCTATGTTTACCTATGTTGCAGGAGATTGTGTGATTGATGTGTGATGTGAATGAATATAATAATTTATCAAAGCACAGAGAGTTTTTGACCAATCGTTAAATAAAAAGTTTGAATAGTAAGGATTGATGCTTACCTTTTTCCCAGGAGATTGTGTCCACAGGATGACCGTGGTAAGGACATTGGATGGCTATGGTGTCGCCAGCCAAGGCTGTGAGGTTCCGCATCAGTTTGATGCCAGGCGGGCCGAGGACGTTCAGTCTGGCTGAGTGCCTCGCTGTACCGGCCTCGTTGCGGGCCTGACAGACGTACAGCCCGCCGTCTTCGGGTCGAGCGGCCGTGATATTCACGTAGCTCACTACCCGAGCGTCCCTGCTGGTCACGAAGTCCCCGACCCGGTACCGTAAATCCTCCGGTAGCCTATCACCATCCAGTCGCCACGTCACTTCGGGCAGCGGCACGCCTGAAGCCGAGCAGCGTAGAGAAGCTGGTTCACCCGGTCGGACCGTTGTCTCCTCGAATATCTCCTCGAGGTAGGGAGCTTCATCTGCCGTCACACATAGCTTGTGTCTATATGGTCTTATTCCATAGCTGAGAGTAAAATATAATATATGTATTTTGTTACCCTTGTATTAGGCGCAAACATTTCAATCTCGCGCCTGGTTGTGTGATTAGTAAATTAATTAATAGATGAGTAATTATTGGCTTAAAATATTATTTATATTATACATAGACATTTTATCTCGTTGATAATTCGTTGAAATAACTATTGACATCGATTGAATCTAGTGATCTATTATTTATTGATGTATTAACTTACCTAAGTAAACCTAATTAAAGTGTATATGCGCTAAGGTTGAAGCAGTGAGGTAGGAATAATAAGGATGGGCACACAAGATATAGGATATAGAAACAAGAATCAGTATGCCCAGAAATTCTCTGTTTTGAAATATCAGAGAGGAAAAGGAGAGTAGGCAACTTATTTAATCAAATATATTATTTAATATATCGCAATCTAGAAATATATTTTACATATTTGGTTTAGATAAATTGGAAGAAAAGTGAAGAGGATGGATCAAATTCAAAATTTTTGATTTGAAAAAAATATATAAAATGTATAAGGAATTAATTAATTTATATTATATAAAATAGGAACACGTACAACACGGTGTATATAGATCCAACTAAATTGAACATTTTCATTTAAATATAACGAAATATTGAAGATCTATGTAAAAATGAGTATTTAAATAATAACGTTATATCTCGTGCTTTCAAACATAGAAACTCTTTTACAGGTGTAACTCTTATTAGCGCTAAGAGCAAGAATATATGAAATATATCATTTGCATATATCTAAATGAAATAAGATAATATATTGAACATAAAGTTATTAGTCAAAAATAAATTCACAAATGAGCTAAAAGTGAAGAATACGCAGTGTTGTGTGTAGATAATAGAATAAAATATATTTTTAAATGAAAATTATGTGCAAACGGGGGACAATTATTGTTCGATATGTGGCGACCGCACTTTGCTTCAGCGAACTGGGACAAAGCTTCAAAACACATACGGGCAGAAAAATGGCGGCCCCACTATGCCTCGGCAAGCACTTGTTTGGAGAACACTTCACTACGCATGCGCGGGCGTCATCCGGAACTTTCTAGCGGCTGGCGTCTTCCGACATTAGATCTGGCACTTGGCTGTAAACATCTAGGCTAACTCAGACGGCCGTTACTTCAACCGTTGCTTCTTTTCTATTTCTATATTTCTGGCTTTAAATAAATTAATTTTAATTATAATTTTATCAGCAGCCTTTCCACAAGCCACACCAACACATCACGCAACAATCCTACAGATATATTATTTTTTATAAAACTTGTTTTTTGTTTTTATTTGGTGCAAAATTTTAATATTGATGTAATTGTAGCTTTTGTTCGTTCAAGATTTCTGAAACATCGTGATGTTTAGTCAGACGCGTACCTATAATCACCAGTTAAACCCTATATACTTTAAACTGAATTATGAAAACGAATCTAGGTAGATGGTATCGTATTTGTCCAAGAAGTCTGACGTTCTTAGTGATTAAGTGTGTTAAGTTTGTTGCTTAGGTCAGAAGAAGAACTAAAATGTATTTTTATACCAAATTTTCGAAGTCGGACAGTTATAGTGTTGAAAATATTGGAGTATATAATTACACAATGGGTTTAAATATAGGTGTGTTGTGTGGTTGAGTATATATATTGATTATTGTTATTGATTAACATTCTAAATAATTGTGAAATAAATTGTAAACTCTGAGCGTAATATGATTATTTTGCCAAATTGAAAGAGGCATATTAAAAGCGATTTTTCACATTTTCTAAGGAATTTTCTGAATTTTATTATTAATTATCTTAAGAGAGGTTGGAAATAAACGACGCAGAATTTGAAGATCAATATGAATTATAATAATAATAAGCGTTTAAAAAAAAAACTTGATCCCAAATCAATCAATATGAATATATATTTATTTATCTTATATTTTAGATATAATTATTATAGAATATATATAAAATTTAAAAAGAAATGGCTCTTCATGATTAAAAACAATTATTAGTTATTTTTCACAATGGGATATATAAATAGGTTAAAATTATTGAATGTTTTACAAATTTGAGCTCACACATTTAGTCTAAATATATATTTCCCTAGCATTTGGCATTTTGAAATGTCTCCAGTAAAATTAGAAATATATGAAAACCTCTCTCTACGAGTTGTCACTGTGAAAAGTTTAAATTTAGAATATTTATTCAAAGGCAAAAATTCTCCGCCATTTCCTGAGGGATGTAAAACTTTCATTTCAATTTCTCGTTTGGCAAATATTTTTAAAAAGTCTTTTAACATTTTTACTTATTCCAACTTTTTATGGAAATGACATTTACTCAAATTTTCTATTCATTCTTTAGAATAAACTTTCTCTGTTTATATATAAAATACATTAGATCAAATTCTAAACGTTAAAATAATTACGAAGAGAAATTCAAAGAATATCAAACAAATTGGATTTCTTGTTTATATATTTATAGATACGTATATATATATTTATAGAAATTCTATTTATCCTAGGAATTATTCATACAATGCATTAACACGCCATCTGTTATCAGAAATTTTAACTATTTTTGACGCATATGATTTTTTTTTTTAATAAATCATTTTCTTCTGTCCTTACTGCAATGATAAATTTTATCTCCAATCATTTTATCATTGCAGGAAAGGCAGTTTTATTTTTAAAAGAATCGTATGGGTCAAAAATAGTTTAAATATATTATACTAGAACATCTTGTAATATTCTGCAGACTATAATTATAGTATTTATTCTAAAGAAAAAAAACGCCACCTCTCACGTCAAAATAGAAGCATCCATTTCCTTACTCCTTGACAATCTCTGAAAACCTTCGGGTCAGTGACAAAGCCATAAAACCAGCTTTGACAAACATAGAAAACCGATCTGCTGAACATGGTTTCGTGTTAATGGCCCTCGTCAGCACATTACAGGCTTTGAATTCATAAAATCCACAAGAAATTAAATAAAATTTGCACAATTTGTCAAAGAGCTGTTTAGCTGGCAAAGGGACTAAGCCAAATATATGCCGAAATATAGATATAAAGTTTTTAAACGAGAATATTTGGATAAACAATAAACAATGGTCACTTAGTCCGTCAAAATCAACGTTAGAACTATGAACAATAAAATGGAACAATTATTGATTCTATATTTATTATTGTAGATACCGCATTATAATGTTCAAATCTAAAAGCTTGAGGGATGAGTTTCTTTTGCAAATAAATCTATTTCCAGCTTTCGGGCAACGCCCTTCTACATCCTGATATCGGATTTTTTCAAGAGGTCTGACGGTTTTTTCTTAGTGATTAAGTGTGTTAAGTTTGTTGCTTAACCCAGGAGGAGAACTAAAATGTATTTTAACACCAAATTTGCGTAGTCGGAAAATTATAGTGTTGGAAATATCGCAATAGTTATAAATTTAGGTGTGTTGGATGGTGGAGTATATATATTGATTATTGTTATTAATTAAAATTCTAAATAATTGTGAATAATTTTCCTGTAGAAGGGCGTTGCCCGAAAGCTCGAAATAAATTTATTTGCAAAAGAAACTCATCTCTCAAGCTTTTAGATTTAAACATTATATTAAGGGATTAGCCTATTTATTAACCGCATTATAATGTTTATTATAGTGAAATATGGATGTAATAATTACAAATAGATTTAAAATATATATATTGTCTCTAAAAATTGAATTTAAGAAAACAGATTTCATATCTTAAAATAATGTTTTTTCAACATAAAAAACAATCATGTATCCACATCACAAATGATTTATTTAGCTAGAACACTTAGAAAATAGGGTATAAAAACTATGTACAATAATTCTCAAAATTTAGGTTCAAAATCAATCCAATATTCCAATCAATAGAAAAGAAGCCATATA